TCAAGTGCAAGTGGTAATGGTGGTAATGGCAGTGATTGCCGGATGACTGTACCTAGTCTGGACGCGGCGGCTGATGATGATGTGCTCGCCAGTGCACTAAGGTTCGAGATAATCTCTCTATGCTTCCCATGCTAAACGCACCATGAAGTTCGCCAGTCACTCGAGCACCGAATGGCTTGCTTGTGTGCGAGTGTTTACACTTCAGTGTGAAGAACACGCTGGAAAGAAGCAGCCTAAAGCAGCTTCTAATTCGAAACCGAAATCTTCTCTTCCTCGAGTCGCCCTTTGGAGTCTCCTTGATAAGGGCGAATGAAGCGAGTGAAGATTAGCACTGCTGGAAAAGCAAAGGAAGGGTGCCAGGAAAACAACAACACCCCCACCACGACCACCAATTGGCGTACTACTTTAAAGTAGAGCCAAGTGCATCAAGGGGGTGAACAGTGGGGTGACCGTATCATCCTCCAAGATGTCTGCTGCAGCTGTCGATGATGATGATGATGGGGAAAGTGATGTCAGTGATGGGGATGTCAGCCGTAATCACGTGTGCTTGGCCAGAGAGTGTGCCTGTCTCTACGCGGCAATGTCGCTCACTCGTTCTGTTCACTTGCTGCTTCTTCCTATCGCTTCCTTTGTCGGTTCGATCGACGACGATTTCTCCCACTGCATCAACTACAACGCACTAATTAACAAGCTGTTGATAAGATGCGGCGGCGGTGTCGGCGGCAGTCCATCTGAAATAAAGAGAGTAAAGATGCTAATTGTGCAATTGTAGACACAATCACTCGATCGCTATTTATACTACTACTACTTTGAAAGAGATGTGAAAAGATGTATTGAAGGATGGTCGATTGGTGGTGATGGTTGGGGTGATAGGCAAAGATGGAAAACAGCAAAGATGTAGATGAAGATCTGCTGCTGCTGTGGCCAAAGATCTCCCACTGAAGAGTACTCTTCCTGTGGCAATGGCCCTTCGACTATTCGATCGAGAAGGATCGATGGCCTTTGGATGACACTTGGAAAGACCAGGACTCTGTTTGTTGACGATTTGACCAGTGTGTGTGTGACCAGCCAGCCAGTGACGTCTGACCTGAGCGAATATCTGTGTACGGCAGGCCGATCGCCAAAAACAGCCGTACAGCGGCACATCACCATCACCACCATCCCCACCATCACTAGCAATCCATCAACGAACGCCTATCGAATTACACTGCCTGCCTGCCTAGCGGACAGAGTCTGTCTGAGTGGTCTGTCAAAGTCGAATCTATCTTCTTCTCCGCCTGCTGCTGCTTCGTAGCCGACAGCTTATCTCGANGCGAATATCTGTGTACGGCAGGCCGATCGCCAAAAACAGCCGTACAGCGGCACATCACCATCACCACCATCCCCACCATCACTAGCAATCCATCAACGAACGCCTATCGAATTACACTGCCTGCCTGCCTAGCGGACAGAGTCTGTCTGAGTGGTCTGTCAAAGTCGAATCTATCTTCTTCTCCGCCTGCTGCTGCTTCGTAGCCGACAGCTTATCTCGACACTGACTGCGGAGGACGTCAGCATCGGTTTTGGCTCACTCACTCGCTCACTCTCGTTCACTCAAAGATCCGTCCTCGCCTTCTCTCTCTCTCTCTTCGAATACTTTGAACCGACACTGTTGCTTCCTTGCCACTCCCACTGCCACACCAACACTGTGACATGTCGATTAGATTGTCGCTGCTGCTGCTGCTGCTGAAGTGGCTGAAGTCAGTGCTGTAGACGATAGTCTTGAAGAGAGAAAGAGAAAGACTCCCGGAGAATCGAACCTCGAACAGCAGCTGATGATGTTGATTGAAGCCTGTGATGAGTCCCAGCAAGTCGCCCTGAAGATTGCTTCACTTTGCTTTGCTTTCTTTCCTTTGCATTGTTCACCACCAGTTGTTACCACTACCTTCAGGCTCTTCTTCTTCTCAAACTTCTCAATCCTCACTTTAAGTGCACGCACACTCTTCACACACACTCCTTCTCTTGATGACTGTGGTAAGAAGTAAAAGTCGAAGAAGTGAAGAAGAAGAGGGAGAAACACAGACACAACAGCAGCCGCAGCACAAAGTTGTCGACATCATCCTCGGGCAATTAGTTCGATTGGAAAGAAAAGAGAAAAACTACTCCGGTCTTTCACAGCACTCTCACCTGCAAACTGATCTTTTCCGCTAGTCACTGCAACCACTGAATCATCCACTACTATTTTGTAACCCAAAAACCATGAAGAACGCCTCCACACTCAGATGCAAGTCTACAAGTTGAACTGACGGCAAACAGCAGACGCAAAAATTTCAACAATTCTCCATTCTAACATTCCTCCCCCAAACTCAAACAGTGCGGAAGGATGCATCAAATGTGCCAGAACTTATCTGCGAGGTTCACCACCGCCATCATCACCCCTTTCATCCCTTCCACAAATTCATCTCCCCAAGTCTTTCATCACCCCACCAGGAAAAGTCGTTTTCTAATTCTTTTCCTCTTCCTGGCGACAGCCGCCCACCTGCTGTCCCTTTGCGAAGGATCTCACTACATCAAATGTAAACAAGCAAATCGAACTCTGCATTTTGTAGCTCTAACCAGTATTTATTTCCACCCACCCAGATCAAATGAGCGACTACTGTGATCCGGGGCACCGCCTGCCGCCGATTGAGCTGCAGCCGAACGGCAACCGCACCGCCATTCTCATCAAACTCAAACGGGAGGCGTACCGCTCCGGCATGGACTGCACCATAACCGTCCGCGCCCCGCCCAACTACGGCCTGATGGCCTTCATTACCAAGCTCAAGCTGAGGCGCATCAGCGCCACAAAGGCGGACCGCCTCGAGTTCCTCTCGCCCACCGCCGCCGGTTCTTCTTCAGGGCAGAATCTGACGCTGTTGCGCATGCACGGCCTCAACCAGGAGGTGATGCCGCGGAAGACCATCCTCACCGGTTTTGTCGCCAACCAGTTGGACATTCACTTTGTGAGTGAGGTCAGCAGCAAGACGCTGGCCGGCAAGGGCTTCAAGGTGGTCGTCAACCTCTACAGCAGTAAGTGTGCAGGAGGAGGGTGATGTTTGGTTGATGTTTAAAATGCTAATCATTTTGATGCACTTCACTAGACGTCCTGAAGAACAATGAGTGCGAGAGCAACCTGGGGCTGGACTTTAACTGTGGAAATGACATTTGCGTAGACAGCTTTCTCGGTAAGGAGAGCTTTTGAGTTTTTCCTAATTTCAAAATCTAACAACCTCGCTTCCTTTTTTGCAGAATGCGACGGCACAAACAATTGCCGCAACAACGAGGACGAGCTGGAGTGCGACGAGACGTCGGAGACCAAGTTCAGCCTGTACGTCTTCCTCGCCACCCTCCTCGTCATGGTCGTCCTCGTGATGATGTTCATGATGAAGAACAAGGAGAAGCGCAAGGAGATTGTCCGGCGGATGAGTCGCGTCTACGCCAACAACAATCCCATTCTCTACGTGATGGAGAAGGACGACTCGGTGGCCTCCACCGGCGACGACGACCTCACCACTGCCAGCCGAACCAGCGCCAGCAGCGGCTCGGCCAGTGACAGCCTTGCCACAGACAGTCGCATCTCATCGCCGCCACTGCCTTTGCAATCGAGGTCAGGCGTTTCGGGAATGGAAGAAGGCAGGCAACAGCAGCCGACGGAGGCGAAAAAGACTGCGACGAGCGCCTTTAGAGAGGGCAATCGAGTGGGCTCGGTGAGAAGTCATCTCTCCTTCAGTCTGCCGCAGGGCATGGACCAGATTCACAATAAGGTGTGATCAGCGTTCGGAGTCCTCACCAGTGATAACTATACTACCACCAGCAGGTAATGCCTGTTCATCATCATCATCACCCACTACCACCACCGCCATTCAGTCACCCGAATCACCACACCATCTTTGATCATGAAAGACAATAAATAATATATTATTGAACTGTAATAAATGATTTGCATGTAGCAAGAGAGAAGGAACGAGGGTTGATAGCAGACAGTGTTTAAATACGTACGTGCGACAGTTTGTTGTTTCCAATTAGTTAGCTCGTGAGCTGTTTGACAGCTCTAAGGGCGCTTGGTGGGTAAGCTTGTAGGTAAGGGTATAATGGTCAATGAAGAGGAGAATGGTTTGCAGTCCAAAAGGAACAAAAATATGGAAACGAAGATATCTTTTGTTGTTGATGATCACCAGCATCACTCGTCGGTGTAGGCGACGCGCTCCGTGGCCACGTAGCAGACCTTGCTCTCCAGGTCCTGGTACCCGACGGGGCCAATATCACATTCACAGCAGGAGAGGTACTTGACGCCCTCCACCTCCTTGCTAAAGGAGCAGTTCTCAAAGTGAAACATGTCCTCGACGCTCCAGAACTTGCTGATCGGCTCCGGCTCGTGGGCGCCCTCCACCTTGGGCAGTGTTTTCTGGTGGCCGGAAAAGGAAAACTTTTGTTATTTTTCAGACTACCTTTTAGAATATTGGGCTTACCTCAAGATCAACGAGAGAGCTAATATTGGGCTTCAGGTAGAGCGACTTGCAGTAGAGACAGCGAATGTACTTGCTGTTGCTGCGTTCATCGTCGCAGTGCAGGTAACCAGGTGTTGCCGCCTCCGCCGCTGGAGCGGCTTCTATTTCGGTGCTGGTAGCTGGAACAGCAGCAGCAGCAATCTCACTGCCTACTTCATTTGTACTCTGAAAGATAAATAAAGTGTTGGTGGAGTGGACTTTGAGATCAATTTACAAACCATTTTGGAAATGATAAAGAGAATCTGTTTTCAAAAAGCAGGCAAAGCAAAAAAGAAGAAAAGTGACAACTGGGAAGAAAATACAAACAGCAGAAATCATGTGAGAGATTTTTCTCATTTCCAGCGGATCGTTCACAGAGAGGGGACGATAGACGGCGGCGGCCAAAACACGTTTTTGTTGTTTTGGACTTTTTTCAAAGATCACAACAACAAAGATTTCGAAAACTGACACTCTTTGAAACCGAACATCACCATCATGTCCAAGAGCATCTCCTTCATCACTGAATCGGAGGTGGAAGAGAAGCGAAAGCGTCGCCAAGAGGAGTGGGAGCAGAAGCGCAAACCCGATGATCCTGAAGGTTTGTTTCTATGCTTTGACTTACGTTTGAATCACTTTACCAAATCAAAACAGAGGCACCCGAGGAGAAGTACGATCCACGGACGCTCTACGAGAGGCTTCAGGAGCAGAAGAACAAGAAGCAGGAGGAGTACGATGAGTCGCACAAGCTGAAGAACTTGATCAAGGTAAATCCACCTAAATTATTGTTTTAGAATCCAAAGATTAAACTCTTCTCCTCTTTCCAGACACTAGACAACGATGAGATTGAGTTTCTTCAGGGCTTAGACAGCACCCGAGCGCAGTACGAGAACCAGAAGTACCAGGAGGAGTTGGCGGCCATTGAGGAGTACAAACGAACGGCCACCGATCTGAGCGGTGAAGAGCAAGAGAGGCGGCTACTCGAGTTCAAGCGGGAGCTCTTTCAGAGGGCGAAGAAACGAAAAGCCGATGAGGAGGGAGAAAAATCCGGGGAAAAGAGAAAGTCCTCGCAAGCTGAGCTGCTCTCTAAGGCGATCGTCAAGCGAAAGGCTGTGACTGATCAGTCTTCCTCAGCATCAACATCTGCAGCAGCAACTTCCACCTCCAAACAGACTGAACCTGAACCATCATCTTCTTCATCACCAACTTCATCATCTTCCTCTTCCACTCCTCCTCCAGCAATGCCGCCCAACATGCCCACCATTCAGTGCATCGGCCGTCTGCCTGGCATCGGATGCTACGACGGCGGAACTGACAGCAGCGACAGCGATCGAGAGTCGGACGAGGACGACGTCGAGGACTTTCAGGTCTTTGCCGACCCGCCCAGCAAGGGCGGCTCTGATGATCATCACCACTGAGCACTTCCTATAGAACACCTGTATCCTAGAATAACCAATCAAACCATCTCCCAGTTCTTTGCTACAGACTGTGTTTATTAAATTTTTTTTCAACATGCACAAAAATTGGTGGTAGTGGTGTGATATCATTATTTCAGGGAATGAATAGGGGGGAGTAAATAGGTTGTGTACAACGGGAGACGAATGTACAAAGGGTGTGGGTGGGTGTGCAAAAGAGAGAAGGGAGGAGGGGAGGGAGGAAAAAAGGTGTGTAGAAGAAAACTGTGAACAGAGAATAATGAGAGCAGAAATTCGACATAAGAAGAATGAGTCAACGATTTGGGGAGGGTGGAACGAGAATGTGAGAATGTGCAGAGTGGGGCTGCCTGAAGATCATCATCTTCAGGTGACTACCCATCATCCATCGATCACTGTTTGGAAGCTCCAGGAGGCACCAAGAGAGTAGAGATGTTCACCCTTGTTGCTGCTTGTGCAATGGGGGGAGGGGTATACAAAAAAAAGAGGGGCATGTACAAAAGACCGTTTGTTTCAGTAGGTAAGAAAATATCGGGATATTTCGGTTTTTGTGAGACTGTTGCAGTTGTTTGGTTGTTGAGTCTGTATTGTTTTGTAAGTTTTGTTTTTCGTTTTCTTCACTTTACATTCTTCTTTCACTTTAGACCACCGGTCCCTGGCAGCCACTCCTCACCGCCGCTTCTTCTTCGGCTCCACTTTACTCTTTCTTGTTGGTGGTTCTCCTCTGACGGGGAGAGTTTGGCTTGGCTGCGTTTGGCGATTTGTCTGCAAAAAAGAAAAGGTCATTAAATGGAAATTTGGAACAAAGAAGAATAGTTGTCCTTACTGAGTTGCTTGATGGTCTCCTGTGGCAGCCAGTCGTAGTCGACATCATCGTGAGCAGATGTGCCCACCTCGACTCGGGGCTTACTCGAGGACGAGCTGACAATGTGTTTCTTCTGTTGTGGTAGATTGTAAACAAGGGAATTGTTAGTGAGTTTGTTTTGATCACATTAACAGCAGCAGCACTTACGCCAAAGTTGCCGAGCAGTTGGTAGGCGCCGACCAGGCCGAGAGCGGCGAGCGCCGCGAGGACGATAAAGAGGAAGAAGGTTTCCGTGTCGAGGCCCTCATCGAGCTCGACGATGCTGATGGTCTCATTGAAGACCGGGCTCAGGTATTGCTTCTCCTGAAGTGGGTGATAGGAAATAGAAAAATGTTAGAGAAAAGGTCATTTGGTGGTGATGTTGAGAGAACATACGNCGAGCAGTTGGTAGGCGCCGACCAGGCCGAGAGCGGCGAGCGCCGCGAGGACGATAAAGAGGAAGAAGGTTTCCGTGTCGAGGCCCTCATCGAGCTCGACGATGCTGATGGTCTCATTGAAGACCGGGCTCAGGTATTGCTTCTCCTGAAGTGGGTGATGGAAAATAGAAAATGTCAGGGTAAAGGGCATTTGGTGGTGATGTTGAGAGTACATACTGCATCTCGGTAGTACAGGTTCACATTCAGTCCGTACTGACGTGGCGTGTAAAAGTCGGCGACGAAGAACTGGTAGGAAAGGGTCACCTCTTGCTTCGGTCGGACCAGGCGGTTGTAGGGAACGGCGGTGAACTGGTTTGGGAAACAGATAGAAAAAAAAGTTAGAAAGGTTTTTTTCTAAAACAGTAGTCCGCATTACATTCTGCAGGTAGAAGCTAAAGTCGGCCGAGTATCGGAAGCTGGCGTCCATCGAGTCCACCACAATGTCCTTTGAGCCCTTATTCTGGACGCCCACCAAAAAGTGCACCTCCTTGCCGACGGGCAATTCTAAAAAAGTAGAATTTTGAAAAAGTTAGAAATTACATCATCAATCAACAAAAAAGCAAAACTGAAAACAAACCGAATCCATTTCCAGCCGGCTTAGTGAAGAAGACCGTCACGTCAACATCAGGCGAGGGCTTAAGTCCATCAACAGACGAAGAGTCGTCCACTTCCGTCACCTCGCCGGTCTCCACCTGTCCGTCAACATCCTCACCCTCTACGGGGTCCTCCTCGGCGGCGGCATTAGCGTACAGGCGTGATTGAGCTAGAGAGGAAAGAACATAAACAAACGGTCAGTTTTGTTGATCAAAATCTCCCCCTTTCTAAACGAGTTGCAGATCACCGAGAAGATTCACACAGCAGAAGAGCAAGAGGAAGAGGAAAAGAGGGAATCTACAAAAGACCATCACCACCACCAACACTCACCATCAAAGATCAGCGTGACCGGCATCAGAATGAGCAGAGCCAGCGCGAGGTTCCGAGCGAGCTTCATCGTCGTTCCAGGAGTTTGGAGGGGTTTCGAAAAGAGACGGAAAGAAGAGGAGACCGAGGAAGAGACACGACGACTTAAAGATGCCGCTGCTGCTGTTGGCACACGTCGATGTAAAGTGTCTGTCCGTCTGTCTTGATGGCACACCGTCTGCTGCTGCTGCTGCTGCTGCCTGCAGTGGATGGCAACGTCACCGCACTTCCAGTGGTGCTGCTGGTGGCAGATGCCGGCAACTTTCCCGCAGTGGCCAGCCGAGAAGTAGAACTCTCTGACTGCTGCTGATATGCTCTGAGAACGCTTCAGCTGAACATCGAAGGGTGAGGTGTCTGCTGATGGTGGCGAGGAAATGTTCTTCTGTAGTGACACGTCATGTCGAGGGGAGTGAAGGTGTCCTTTGGGTGATGGTGATAATTAGGGTTTCGATCTTCAGGGGTGATTGTCTTTTTGCTGACGTTTGCAAAATCGACAGTTTCTATTTCTTTAGTTTGCTGTTGCTGAAGGCTAAAAAGGCTTTTAGATGTGGAACGTGTTCTAGCCTCCAGGAATTTTTTAAAAATTTTTAGGCCTATCCAAAAGATAAAAAGATAAGCCTGGCGTGACCAGATTCACCCCCGCCACCAGAGATTCCCTAGAGTTTCCCTGATATCTATCTGATTTTGTCTTTCAGCAGTTGTCCTCACCAGCCAACAGATGGCTTCTGCCGCTCCAGCGCCAGTCTTTTCGCCACTGGATTGTTTTGGTCTCTGCTTTTAGGTGACCAGAAACAGGGCGAGAGAGAGTGAGAGAAGAGGCGAGGAGAAAGAGGTGCCTTGCACTATTGTCCACCGATTTTTAATTTAATCACCACCAGCACCATCGCCACACCCTCGAAACTCTTTCTTCCCCCATTGGTGATGGTGGTCCTTGAGGGTTGAAGCCCAAAGTCCCGTTTCCCCTGTCTGCTGTGGGCGTGGACCATCACCGCTCTTCTCTTCACTCGTTCACTTCTTCTTTTTCTTCCCTTGGTCCTCTTCAACCAGTCCGCCCCGCGCCAGTATGGGCAACAATGCCTCTCAGCTGGAGAAGGAGATCGGCTACGACCAATTTCCGGCGAATGAACACTACTTCGGTCTGGTCAACTTCGGCAACACCTGCTACTGCAACTCCGTCCTCCAGGCGCTCTACTTCTGTCGGCCCTTTCGCGAGAAGGTGCTCGACTACAAGGCGAAGAGCAAGCGAAGCGGCTCCAGCGCCGGCAGCGGCTCCAATGGAAGCTCCGGACTGGGCTCGGGCGGCGGCGGTGGTGGCAACAAGGAGACGCTGCTCACCTGTCTGGCCGACCTCTTCCACAGCATCGCCACGCAGAAGAAGAAGACCGGGACGATACCGCCGAAGAAGTTCATCACCAGGCTACGAAAGGAGAACGAGGTCTTCGACAATTACATGCAGCAGGACGCACACGAGTTCCTCAACTACCTCCTCAACACCATCGCCGACCTGCTGGTGGCGGAGAAGAAGGCGGAGGCGGCGAGGCAGCAGCAGCAGCAGCAACTAAAGGAGCAGTCAAAAGGATCAGATCACCACCAGAACCACCACAACTCCAAATCCGATCACCGNAGACCGGGACGATACCGCCGAAGAAGTTCATCACCAGGCTACGAAAGGAGAACGAGGTCTTCGACAATTACATGCAGCAGGACGCACACGAGTTCCTCAACTACCTCCTCAACACCATCGCCGACCTGCTGGTGGCGGAGAAGAAGGCGGAGGCGGCGAGGCAGCAGCAGCAGCAGCAACTAAAGGAGCAGTCAAAAGGATCAGATCACCACCAGCACCACAACTCCAAATCCGATCACCACCACCACATAACGAACGGCTACGACTCGGTCAGCTCGTCCTCTTCAAAGCAGCCCACGCCTTCCACAGCCTCACCACCACCTCCCCCACAGTCACCTCCTGAAGCGGAAATAAAGACCTGGGTGCACGATATCTTCCAGGGGACGCTGACGAATGAGACGCGCTGCCTAAACTGCGAGTCGCTCTCCTCCAAGGACGAGGACTTCCTCGACCTGAGCGTGGACGTCGACCAGAACACCTCCATCACGCAGTGTCTGCGCGTCTTCTCCAACACCGAGACGCTGAGCTGCGAGCACAAGTACTACTGCGAGAACTGCTGCTCGAAGCAGGAGGCGCAGAAGCGGATGCGCATCAAGCGCCTCCCCATGATCCTCGCCCTCCACCTGAAGCGCTTCAAGTACACCGAGGCGCAGAACCGCCACACGAAGCTCTCCTACCGCGTCGTCTTTCCCCTCGAGCTGCGCATCTTCAACAAGACCTCCAACGAGGAGACCAGCGACCGCCTCTACGACCTGGTCGCCGTGGTCATCCACTGCGGCAGCGGCCCCAACCGCGGCCACTACATCAGCATCGTCAAGTCCTTTGGCTTCTGGCTGCTCTTCGACGACGACATCGTCGAGAAGATCGACCCCGCCAACATTGAGGACTTCTACGGGCTGACGTCGGACACGCAGAAGACCAGCGAGTCAGGGTACATTCTCTTCTACCAGTGTCGGGAGAGCTGAGCCCAATGATCCGAGTGATGAAATCCGCCGTTCCACGCTTTTGTTTTTGTTGTTATTTTGAACCCCGGTGCTACCGCCTTCTTTGCATTCATTCATTTCTTACTTCCACATTTGTTGTTGTTGTTTCTGTTATTGCTGAGCTCGCTGATTCTCTCTGATCATCAGAGGTAAAGTCTCCACATCGTCATCATCAACACACTTCGTCTTCTTCCAAATGGACGTCAATAGTCAAGTCACTTCTTCGTTTCGCAAATGATGACCACGACCGCTTCAAAAGCCAAACGACCAGTCATGTAAAACAAACACCACACCACACACTCTGTTGTTCTAATGTAAGGCACACTTCAAAGACCAGAGACCTAGGAATGAAATGAAAAACAAATAAAAGATGTCCGTTTTTATATTCTCCATAAGTCCTGCGGCAGTGGTCAATCCATTTGCTGATCACCATCATTTGCATGAAATATATTTGTTGACATCGATGGTATCGAGGCTCCACTGACTCGAGATTGAGCAACTTTCTCTCTGTTTGCTGTGGTGATGTAAACATAAAGGTATGCAATCGTACTGGCAGCAGCAGCTGTTTCGAAAGATTTCACCAGCATTACTCACTGCCGTCACAACAACCACCACCACCACAACTTTTCCCTTTCAGTCGTTGCCATCAGATAGCTGCTCGATGCTCGGTGCTTTGATGAGCTTTGCGGCCAAACGAGTGTAGTGTGTAATTGGTAGAAGACTCCTAGAAGAAGAAGAAGGCCGACAATTAGATGTACTAAACTGTCTGTGATTGAGCCAGTGCCCTTTGATTCCATTTGTTGTTGTTAATTAAGAAGTTCTAAGCGCACTTTCTTGCACTGATAAACTGATCTACTATCACCGCCGCCATCATCACCATCCCCCCAACCACAACTAATGGCATCCTTTCTTCCCAAGCTGACCTCCCTCTTTGACGGGTCCTCCTCTAGTCGCAACAATGTAAGCCACTTGAGTTGATCACTTTTGTTTATCTTGTTTTTGNCATAATCACCATCACCCCCACAACCACAACTAATGGCATCCTTTCTTCCCAAACTGACCTCCCTCTTTGACGGGTCCTCCTCTAGTCGCAACAATGTAAGCCACTTGAGTTGATCACTTTTGTTTATCTTTTTTTCTTACCGGTTTTTCCTTCCTCACCAGCACAAAACTCGATACCTGAGTCTGAATGAGGGCCTTCAGCTGGGCAGCACAATCATCGTGAAAGGACGCGTTTTCCCAGCCGCTTCAAAGTCTGTTGCTCTTGATTTCTACTTTCATAACAGCGCTAACTCCCTTTTCCTTCCAGATTCGAAATCAACCTCCTCTGCGGCTCCGTCGTCAGCGACGAGCTGATCAAGGGCGGCAGCATCGCCTTGCACCTTGCGATCATCCCCTCTGGCGGCTACGCCCTCCTCAACTCCCGCACCGGCAAGACCTGGAACAAGGAGGAGCGGACGCCGAGGGGCCGCCTGCCGCCGCCTCTCCTCCAGAACCGCTCCTTCAGCATGGCCATCGAGGTGGAACGCCAGCAGTACCGGGTGGACGTCAACGGCCACCAGTTCACCACCTTCCTCCACCGGGAGCCCTTCGAGTCCGTCGGTCTGCTCAGCTACGAGGGCGACTTTGAGGTGGAGAACGTGCAGATTCAGCCGCCCAGCTCGGCGGTGACAGCCAGCGGCCCCGTCTTTCCGCTCGGCCCTCAGCAGTCTTCCTCCTCCTCCAATGTGCTCAGCAACCAGTTCGAGGACGTCGACCACCTGATCGCCGACCGCAAGTTCCCCCGCCTGCCACTCCTGCTGCCCATCAAGGCCGGCCTCGTGCCCGGCATGATCATCGCCATTGACGGGCAGCTGACGGGCAACCGCTTCGACCTCAGTCTCTACCAGGGCTCCAATCCATACGGCGGAAGCAGTTCTGGCGGTGGTGCCGGCAGCAGCAGCGGCGGAGGCAGCAACGACGCCGTGCCCTTCCACATGGAGGTGTACCTGAAGGAGATGACCATCATCCGGAACAGCTACCAGGCGGGCGCGTGGCAGTCGCCGGAGAAGGAGCTGACGCACTTTCCCTTCTTCGGCCTCGGGACGGCCTTCCGCCTGGTGGTGCGCGTCGAGGCGAACCGGTACCAGGTGAGCGTCGGCGGGCGCTACCTCTTTGACTTCTACCACCGGGTGACGCCGCTGGCCAGCGTCGACCACCTCTGCGTGCACGGCGCACTGGAGGTCAGCTCGCTGCAGATTGCAGTGCCGCCCCTCTAAAAAATGAACGAAATTCGTTTTTTCCATCAGATGTTATTCTAAAATCGCAAATAAAACAGTTCTAACAGTTCATCGCCTCTGTTTTGTTTGCTGTGTTGGTCGTCGTGATGGTGTTCTGTGTGTGTGTGATGGAATCGCTGATGTTCAGTTAGTGGTGACGGCGACTGCTGTTGCCACTGCTCTGTGAGGACTTTGAGGACTTCACCGACTTGATCCAGTTGGTGGGTGGTCCGGGCGGTTTGGCTGCCACCACTCCCCCGTTCGAGGCAGTAGTGCTGGGAAGAGGGGCATGTCCTCCGTTTGAGAGCAGCATTGGGAATGGCGGTGGAAGAGGTCTTTGTCCGGCTGCTGGCTTGAATGGCAGTCCTCCCGGTGGCTTGGGAGCTTGAGCAGGAGGAGGGGCGGGTGCAGCTGCTGCTGGTGCAGGTGGAGCAGCTGGTTTTGAAGCACCAGCTCCTCCATTGATCGCATTCTGCCGCCTCTTCACTGCCAGTGCCACACTCAGCGGCACCATCTTCGGAGCGGAGGGGGCTGCTCTGACACTATTACTACTACCACCGCCAGCACTTCCTCCTGCTCCTCCTCCTCCACCTGCGTCCGCACTGTTCGTACCTGCTGTACCTCCTACACCTCCATTAATGTTCATCATGTCCTTCAGCAGCTGGGAAATTTGGGCCCCAGTGTAGCCAACCGATGGGAGCACTGGCTCAAAGACCGCCGCTGTCGGTCGTAGCGGCTGTGGCGGCAATACAGGCGGCGGCGGCAACGGCTGTTGTTGTTGCTGCGGAAGCTGCTGCTGTGGTTGCTGATGATGAACTCCACCCCCTCCGTTAGCTTGAGTATTGTTAGGAGCAACGCCCACACCGGCAGCCCTGGTGAGAATCTTAAAGGGCGACGTCTCAGAGTGGTTGAACTTTTGCAGCAGTTGCAGCTGCTGCTGTTGATGATAATTCGGCTGATGATTCGGCTGCTGCTGCTGTTGATGATTTGGCTTTGGCTGGTAATAGTTGGGGTTCTTAAAGACCATCCGACCAATCCCAGCACGAGCAAGGGCAGCAGTAGCAGCAACGGAGGCAGCGCTGCTTCCCCCTCCGACATTGTCAAACTTGGGCGGCGGGCCCTTCACCGCCAGCAGATAGGGCGGCTGGTGCTGCTTCACGGGCACCTTTGGCGTCGACGACTTTGGCTGCAGCCCTTGCCCCTGCTGTCCATATCCGTTGATCATCATTCCCTGCTGAATGGGCTGGTAGGAGTTGCGAAAGTGGGCGGATCGAGTGCCCACCGCCCCACTGCCGCCCGCCTTCACGCCGTAGGTGAGGTTGATCAGCCAGGCGGCCTGCATCTTGTAGATGTTCGCCTTGGTGCTGCGCGTCTTCAGCCCGCCGTCAAAGGGCTCGTCAAAGAGCACCTCAATGACGGCGGCCATCAGCCGCTCCACCGCGTCCGCCGGCTCGTCGTCCCTTGCCGCCAGCTTGACCGGCGTGTCGGCGTCGTCGCCGCCTGAATTTCCTCCGCCGCGAGCATTGCTCAGCTCGTCGTCCTTGCCGTAGATGCCGATGACGGTGCCCTTGGCTCCGTAGGGCACGGCGATGCACTTGCGCACGTTCACCACCCGATCGTACAGGTAGAACTTCACCTTCGGGTCGGGCAGTGTGCTGCCCTTGAGGACGAACTCGCCGGTGAAGAAGTGCGCGGGCGGGAGCTCTTTCTCCTCCGTGTACGTCTCCGCCATTAGGACCTAAAAAGAGAGAAAGTTAATAACTCAGAATACTAAAAAAATCCCAAAACTCCTACCGAATGGGACTCAATCGTCTCCTCAATGGCCTTCACAATGCAGTTGTCCAGATTGCGCGCACTTGACTTGTAGTGGCCAATCTTGGAGAGCTCCAACGAGTCGAGCCAGTCGCGAATCTCGCTCAGCATCTTCACCTTTTCTCTGAAAAGAGAAAAATCATTAGATATAAGAAAACACAACCAACTCCCAAACCCCCACACGTACCCCTTATCGAGCGCCGGATCCTCAAAGAGATCATTAATCTCGTAGAGCGACTTGTGCTGCTTGGTGAGCATGGAGAAGACGACGCCAAACTTTGCCTGGTACTCCTTGAACACCTCCACCAGCTTCCGATTGTAGTACAGCTCATTGCCCTCGGCAATCGACCAACCGGGCACGCAGTGCGGCTTAATGTTCTGCTCGTAGTTGGAGCGATACTTCAACTTCAGTCCGAGGTTCATCTTGCGCTCCTTTCCACTGCCTTTGCCCTTCTCCGCCGACTTGTAGCAGACAATGACGGAGCCAAAGAGGCGGCGGATGGCGTTCTCGTTGACGCCCAACGTCGATTTGAGCTTCCGCGCCAGCTGCCCCTCGAGGATGTAGTGCTCGTCAAGGATGGCGTCGCAGTGTTCCTTGATCTCCTCAAAGTCGGGCTCCGCGGCGACGGTGATCCTCGTGCGCACCAGATTGCGCGTCTTCAGGTACTCGAGCACCTCGCCCCGGCAGCCGTAGTACGGCTGGCCCAGCAGGAAAAAGGCTCGCCCTCGCTGGAAGACGTCCTTCAGCGTTCGATGTGGCTGCTGCTGCACCGTCTTCGCGCCCTCGCCCTTCCGGCTGGGAATGACCAGCTCTAGGGGAATGTACTGCTCCGCCTTGGCCCACTCCTTGTGCAGCACCAGGCGGCCGCCGGTGATGATGTAGCGCTGCGACTGCAACGGGACGACCTTTGCCAGCACGCCCACCTTGTCGAGGATGACGCCCTTGCGGTTGCGCAGGGCGGAGCAGTGACTCGCCGAGGACTGCTTCGCATAGCCGAGATCCAGTTTCGAGGGCGTGTCAGAGGCCACCGATTGACCACCCCCAGCCGAGCTGAGGTAGTACTTCTTGTCAGTGGACACCAGCTCCAGCAGCTTCGCCTCCGAGAGCAGCGGCCAGTTGATGTAGACCATGGTGCCCAGATGGGCTCGGGCGTACTCTGCCAGCTGCTCGGCGGTCAGCTCCGACGGCAGCACCGTGATCATCATGCTGGGGTTTTGCGAGTTGAAGCGGAACACCTTCAGACGGGCATTTGCCTCTAGTTTAGAGCGGTAGCGAATGCCGCTCAGCGTGGGAAAGCCGATAATTTCCTTCAAGTCGACGTTGTGGCGGACGCCCTTGAAGATCAGCTCCGGCGGCAGGATAAAGTGCTCCTGGTCGAGGAGGGTCAGCTTCAGGTTGGGAAAGTCCGGGTCGTCGGCCTGACTGGCATCGTCAATGTGCTTCAGACTGTAGTGGCCGCCGATGCGGTTTCGGTGCATCTCCTCCTCCGTCAGTTGCGCCTCGTACTGCCCATAGACGGAGAGGAGCTTCTCCTCCTCGATGAAGGGAATGAGGACAATGGCCTCGTAGTCGTGAATCTTCTCGTTCATGTCAATCTCCACGTTCTTGGGATAAAACTCTCTCAAGGCGGAATCGGCGCCCCCCGTCAGATTTTGGCAGGCCTTGGGAAGGAAGTCCTTGCTCTGATGGGGAAGAACCGCCAGCAGCTGCACCAGCGGCTTAAAGGGTCGACTCTTCTCGAACTTGTAGTCGACAATGTCAAATTTGGAAAGGTCGCTGACGTAGGGCGCGTAGTAGAAGGGGTAGAACCAGTTCCAGCTGACGCAGCCGTTGAAGTAGTAGAAGAGGACCCACTGCACGCCCTTGATGTACTCGTTGACGATGTTCAGCACCTCACCCTCGAGGTCCTTAAAGTGCAGCTTTGTCCGGTAGTAGTTGTTCTTGTGTACGGTGAACTCCTCCTCAATGTCCTCCTCCAGCGTGTCGTCGTCGTCGAATGTGTCGTCCTTCTCATCGGACGATTCCTCGTCGTCGTCGTCTGTCGACTCCTCAGGCAGCGCCTCAAATTCAAAGTCATCCAGCGGCGCATTGTCGCCGTTGTCGCCAAAGGTGATGGCGTTAAGGTCCTGGTTGAAGTACTTCAAGTCGACGGTCGTTCCGTTGAACAGGTCCATGTCGTACTGGGCCAGCTTTTGCAGGTACTTTCGGTAGCGCTCCAGCTGAATGGTGCCCTCGTGGTTGAGGTAGCCGTCCAGAGTGGGCAGGACCTCTTTGTACGTGTCGTAGAGTATCTGTATGCTGCCCTTGTCCACGTGGAACTTGGGTATGTGCGGGAGAAAGTCGTTGCCGATGAGGAAGTTCATCAGGATCCAGTCGTCGATGATATTTTCTAGGCTGTACTCGAAGGAGAGGCGAGGCTTCAGATCGACGAACTCCATGTTGAGGTAGTCGCGGAGGATGGAGAGATGCAGCAGCTGGAAATTGGTTTTGAAGGGATCGCAGTGTCGTTTGGCGTTTTTGTTGAAGTTGACCTCCTCGCGGAGCAGTGAAAAGTAGGGCTCGTGGCAGCTCAGGCCGAGATTGATCAGGTCGGCGTCGAGGCCGTAGAGGCAGTGGCGGACGACGGTCTTTGCCGTGGTGGCCGCCTTTGTCTTGCTGAAGCGGACGTAGTCCATGATTTTGTGCTCGCCCTCACCGGGCACGTCGTAGCCTGAGTAGATGACCTCCACCTCGCGCCATGATGCGTTGGCCTGCACCTTCTGCTTGAGGAAGGCCACCATGTAGTCGTGCAGTTTGCCCATGAACTCAGTACCAGGGGTGATGCAGTTCGAGTCGAATCGGGGGTCAGTGGGCAGCGTCTCGCCCAGCCGCTTCGCCTTCTCCTCCTTCTCAATGGCCTCCTTGGCGGTGCGGTACCGCCGAGAGCGCTGCTGGTTCATCTTGGAGCGCGGCGCGACGCCGTCCACCGAGAGGAAGAAGACCTTCTTCGGCTGGACGAGGTTGAAGAGGAACTCGACGTAGACGCCGATGTTCTCGAAGATCTGCGCCTCGGTGAGGCGAAAGTGGACGTCATCGCTCGGGTGGGAGCAGATGTGGAAGACGCCGTTCATGTCCACGTAGAAGTTGTCAAATTCGGGCATCTAAAGGGAAGGGGGGAAAGAGAAAGGAGGAGGTGAGTGGCGTGTTCCAGTGAAATGGAATCCCCTCATCGTCACGTTTACATTGCTTTGGTTGACATTCTCGTTGATGCAGGGGTATCGCTCGCTGAGCCAGCGATAGAACTTGGGAACTCCCATGGCTTCTGCTGATGGCGATGGATTCTGTCTTACTTAGAGCGCGAGTTTTGGCCTATGTATGGCAGTCGGATGGATGTCTGGTACTCTGTCAGTATTTTTGTGTCGGTTAACAAAAGAGAAAGAGAAAGAAAGAGAAAGAAAGATAGAGCAGGGAAACCTAAAGACGGGAGAACGAGTGCAGAAAGTGCTGCGATTCTGGGCGCTGCATGAGGACACTGCGGGGCACGGCCACCACTGTTCACAGCTGACGACCGGTGGAGAGAACTGGTAGCAGAACTGGGCGGCAGAGCACCTTCTTGCGCACTCGGTCCGATCCGAAAAAGAACGCCTGACAAACACCAGCGTAGAGGTACTTTTGCTCTTTTTTCTTTCTAAAAAGTTTTTTTCTGACTATTGTGACTCGACTCGCCAAGAGACGACAGGTGAGCGATGGGTGGAAATAGCAAGTAACTGCCGCAGGCCAGGCAGCAGCAGCAGCGAAGCACCATTTTTGTTGTCTCTTTTCGTGTGTGTACACAACAACAGCTTCCTTTTCGCCGATTTCTGGTTTTTGAATCTTCTTACTTTTTTCGGTTCTACCTCATCAACTCATGAGCAAGCGAGAGCGCGAGTATGATGGTGGTGGCCATCACAGTGGCCATCACCACCGCAGTTCAGGCCACAGCTCTGACCGGGACTACCGCTTCGACTCGGCCTTCGGCAGCAACTCCAACAACAGTGATGATGCAGGTGAGTGTTCTTTGCTTCGATTTTAATGATTTAGTAATCTAATTTATTTATTTTCCAGCCGAACGACGTCGTAAGCGTAAAAGTCGCTGGGGCGGCGATGACCGC